CCTCTGGGGATTTGGAACTAGATTTATGAGCAGCAACACCATCATTGTTAATAATATAGGAAACATTAATTTCTTCACTATTATGAATTCTTGTAAAAGCACTTATCTGTTTTTGATACGTAGACCCATCATAAATTTCTTGCATAATATCATGAGATTTCTTCTTTCTCAAATATTCATGAGAATAATATTTGGTTGCCTCATAGTAAGAAAGTGTATTAAATTTAAGAGATAATTCCTTATCAAAATCAATCATATAAAAGAATTTGTTAATATCAAATATTTCACCACATTTACAAATTGTTTGAGAATGTTTTGAAACTGATTCACATTCTTCACAAAAGTAAACTTTGAAGTACTTATCCTCAATATCTGTAACCATATCCATCAAATCATAAATCTTATTTGGAAGATTACAAGGAGGTAATAACTTGTGAAGTAGATTTAAAAAACTTTGTGATTGAGTTTTGTTTAACTTTGCTTCCACAATAAATGATAATATTTCCATAACTGACTCATAGGTTGTCATTGATGATGTATTAAATAATTGCTTGGAAAGAAGGTTATTATTTTGAATTATTGGAGATGTAAAATGAACAGGTTTAACATTCAAAGGATGATAATTGAGTGATGTTGAATTACTATTAATAGGAGATATTTCTGATTGTATTTGATGAGGTTCTAGGGGTGTTGGTGATGTTAAAGTTGTTATTGAATTCAAATCATTATCAATATTTAATGCAAAAGAAAAAGTATCATCACCTCCAATATGGTATTGTTTAGATTGTATTGATGTTGAATAATTGTTATCATCAGGAGAAATTTCGGAATCATAGATTTGTCTTTTTCTTTTGTTGGATGTAGGGGTAGTGTTTGAAGTAGAATCAGGCATTTGAAAGGTTGGTGATTGGTTCCCATTACTTACAAATTTTAAACCAGAAATCCTTTCAAAGTCTGTTGCAAATTTTGCAAAAGCATGTTTAACCATTTTTTTTGGATTAGTTTTTAATAATGACTGGTTCAATCAACTCTTTTACAACAATCTAAAAAAAGATCAAATCTGTTTTAAATAAATTGAACAACAACTATCTATATATCAAACTTGGAAAATAACCACAACTGAATCAAAAACAAAATGTCTACTAGTCAACAAACCCAAAAGCGTAAAAGTGCAAGCAACAGTTCTTCTTCCTCAAAGAAGAAGAAAGATGAGTCTGAGTTAAGAATGAAACCACTTGAGCCAGTCGGAATGCAATGGTATTCTGTTGAATTATTACCAGCAACCATTAACAAGGGACCTCCTGAAGTGGGTAAATTGACAAACTTTATTGAGAATTTGAGAAAACAAGAAATCACAGTACGAGCAGATAAATCCATTATCAAACAATTATTTAAGAAGCATCAATTAGTATACATCCTTATTCTCTACAATGAATACTTGAAACATTTACAAAGAAAGAACAGTGAATTTGAAAACTTTCCCACTGTCTCCTACTCTCTCCCTGTTGAAGAATTGTTTCAGTTTTTAATTGAAAAAATTGAACAAATACAGAAAGTGCTAAAGCCATTTTTTGATTTTGACAGAGAATTACAATTTCGTAAAGTGAATAATCTTCAAAATGTAGCTCATGTTCCATATAATAAGTTGCATGAACATGATAGATATTATCTCAAACATGAAACAGAGCCTCTTAAGGTTGCAATTGTTGAATTGATTTCGTTTACAAAGCAAGAGTGTAATTGTAAATTTTTACATTGGAAAATAGATTGTGATACTTGTTGCTCAACTGAAATGATTGAAAAATATCAAGAGGGAAAATATTATGATTTCCCATTGAGTAATCTATATGCTAAACCACTTGGTTTGGACCCTGAAGAGATGGATGAAGAGGAGGAAAATGTTACCTCAACAAATTATCTATTTGCTGTTCCTCCAATTAATGATGACAAGGATACAGAAAAAGATAATTCAGAGAATCATTTTTTGAAGAAAGAAAATGCAGAACTCGAGAAGAAATTAGCAGAATCCAATCGTCTACAAAACCATTTTGCTTCAGAATCAGCCAAGAAAAGCAAGGAAATAGAAGACTTGAAAATGAGACTTGAATTTAAAACTGTAGAATCAAATCAAAAATCCAAATATCTCAGTCAAATATTTAACGATATTGTTTCCCACTCCAAATATGTAAAACCAGAATATGCTATTATGGAAACTTGTAAATTGGTTGGAAATGATCGCATTCCAGAAGAATTTCATTCAGTACTCACCAATACTGAAGAAAGCTTTTCTATTGAATTAAATGGTAAAACATTTAACTTAACTCCTCAACAAAGGGACAAAATTAGGCAGAAAGATACTGGACAAGTATTTGCATTTGTATTTTTTGAATTACTGAAGATGAATATCATTTCTAATAATGAGATCCGAGGTCCACCAGAATTCAAAACATCCCTTATTGATCAATTAGTCACATACAACAAATACTTCCAAAGTACACGTGAATCAGCAGTTGAGAACAGAAACAAAGACCCTTTGTTAAAGGCATACAGTAACTTTCTGGGTATACCAACAAGTAAGAAGCCTCTTCCGAAATACTTTGCCGAGTACGATTCAAAGTACTACACCAACAATGAACAATAAATTTTTTTTCAATCAAATTCAAAAAGTGATTATTTTTAGAACATATCCATTTTATTAACTTTTCGCTTGAGGTCTGTTGCAGACTTTGCAGACAAACGTTCCAGCTTGCTGCAAGAATTTTGCGGGTAAATACACTTTTTTTAAATATTAAATATTACATTTAAATACTTTCAATTTAAAATTACAAAGTTTAATAAATTAAAAATCAATTCTCTCGCAAATAAATCTCTAAATTCCTCATCCAATAAGCAAATCAATGATGAACAATTCCAATCACCGAATGAGATCTCCTCGTCTGCTGATGATGATTATTCTTTCTCTCCGAATGTTTCTGGTGCAACATCAAGACTCTTCTCTTCTTTTCCTTAGCAATACTCTTGGCTGGTGTTTTAATTTCAGGTGCACATGTTGGGCATGTCACATAAATGGCAACAGCTTCATTACCAAAGTTGGTGAGAGTTCTGGAGGAATTCAAGAGGATTGCATCAAGTCCTGTTGGTGAATGGTCAATCACCTTC